CTGGGCAACGTCTTCATAGACAGCTGATTCTCTCAATCCAGAAGCAACCAGAAGCGACTTGCAGCATGCAAACAAGCAAGCAAAACAACCAACTGACCTTTTCAGGACCAACCATGACAATAATCTCAATCAACATTGAAGGCATGTCAGCTGCCAAAGAACAACTGCTCTATGAACTGTGCCGAGATAAGAAATGTCATTCTCTGCATGACTATCATTGCCCAAACCATCTCCATCTTGAACTTCAGGGTCATCATTTCCCCCATCATTTCCCACATCAGAAACACCATGATCCTGAAACACAAGCACAGGCTGAATTCCAACATTGTGCCTTCTTTGCAAAAGAAGGCCAGTGTCTCACCAAATTACACGTCCTAGGATCGCATAACATTGAGCTGCGGCAATTAAATTAGAAATGCCTGTCCTTCAAATAGGAACTCCAGGTGACCCTGAAGCAGCTTCCCCTTTTGCTTTGGCTCAGCACTAAGAGCCATGTTACATGACTCTAATGAGCCCCTTAATTTTGGCAAGGTCATTTAGCCAAAAAAGGTGAGCATTAGATTCAAGTACCTAGGGTATTTCCTCCCAGAAATGTTTGTCCTACCTCCTTGCCATAACAAATGACAGTGCACACTTGCATGAAAATGTAGTTAGTTACTTTGGCATGCCTGTTCAGGACTATCTCTGGCCAAAGTCTGAGATCTAGGCAAGATCCCTTATGATGTCACAGAGATGCCCCCTTGTGATGTCATTAAGCATGATGCCTTCAGCATGATGCTTTCAGTTTTGTGAGATGTAGTAGTTTTAGACTTGTATGTTATGAAAATCTGCTTTTGTATATTGTTTTGGTTCTTTCTATTTTTTCATTATTAATGAATAAAAAATTATTTTTTAAAAAAGAAACACCTAGTCAAACAAATGAGGAAAATATGGTTACACATACTTTTCACTTTTGTCCTGATACTTCTCCTTCTCCCAAGGACTACAATCCAGTGAAATATACATCAAGGTGTAGTGCATAGGAAAGCAGTATGCCTAAAATACAGTCTCTTTGGTTTCAATGCAAATTAAGTGGCAAAATTTTAGCCCAGACTGGTTATAATCTAGGGTTGTTGTTATGTAGTTAGGACCACAGATAGCAGTGTCCATGCCTGGCGAGTTCGGGCAAACATCGAGTGGACCAGGACAGAGATAAAATTCACCAGAATTAAGTCAAGCCATAGATGTTTATTCAGTCTAGCCATAACAGATGCAAATACAAGCAGAGATGCTGTCAAAATACAAGCATAATACACAGAGAAAAGCACAATTTTATTACACACTAGCCATCCCCTGTCACACGTTGCTGTGGCCCAGTCTGTGTATATGTCTTTTGTGTATGTGTGTATATTTATTTATTTATTTACTTCATTTATATACTGCTTTTCTCAGCCCTTAGGCGACTCAAAGCGGTATATATTTGTGTATATGTGTGTGTGTATATATGGTTTTGTGCATGTGTTGTAATGTATTATTTTTTTCATTTTGGGGGTTTTTATGTCCCTTCCGCTGTGTTTTTTGGTGTTTTTATGAGTGGTGGTCACTCGTTGGCCTGATAGGTGTCTTGTGTCCAAATTTGGTGTCAATTCGTCCAGTGGTTTTTGAGTTGTGTTAATCCCACAAATGAACATTACATCTTTATTTATATAGATGACAGCTATTCAAAACTCCCACTTCCCTCCCTGATTGGCTGAGGGAGGGGCCGGTCTGGATCTGCATACTGATTGGCTGAGAGCACTGCTGATCCTCCAGGTGGGGATTCTCTTTTCCAGAGAAATGACAGCCTGGTATTCGCCAACCTGGGAGCCAATCAACTGTTGGGGCATCCCCTGAGAGGGGCGTCCTTCACAGATACAATAGTCTAAGAAATGATAATGAGTCGTTGATTGACTCAGCAGTCCATTTCTGAACTTCAACAAAGGTGTGAGTTCCAGGAAACCAAAGGTGATGATCCAGGCAATCAAGGGTTGGGCATGTAATAAAAGGTGAAGCAAATGTACATATTCCGAGCCTCTGTTTCGGTGGTTTGCAATCTCTCAACCCAAGTGAACCATTTAGCTAAACAAATATTGGCCAGCTTATCTAATCTGACACGGAAACTGTCGATCTCTTTATATATACACACAATGGATCATGATGATTTCTGTAGTTGGGGATTTGCCCAAACTTTGCTTTCCGGGGAAATGTCTCAGCAGGGTTACAAAAGGCGAGGACCTCTGGGCTCTGCCTTGCTACATTTTGGCAAGCGACTTATACAATTTATATAAAGGGATAGATATAAATATACAAAATAGGCAGAAAGTTACAATTAAAAACATTTTATTAAAGGGTTGAAACAAAGTCTTTGTGGGGAAGCCTCTGTCTCCAGTCCTTATCCCTATTTTCTGTAATTGTGGGAGTATGGAAAATGTTTTCAAAAAGATTTTTTAAAATTATACTTGTATTCTTGGGAGAACTATAAATCATTGAGGTGGGATCATGTTCAATAGCAGTTATACAAATGCTACTTATTGTGATATTACATTGTGTTCAATTAAATCAAATTGTCTATCTAGTATCTTGGCTATTCATTTCCTTTTATTTTATTTATTTACCAGCATATATACCTATCATTTCCCAGCTATGAATTTTCTTTATGGCTCAAGGATGGCATTAAGGAAGAAATACTGGAAAAATATTGGAAAAATAACCGTGTAAAGTAAACATTAAATACATAAAGAAAAAGATGAAACTTGACCACATTCTCAGTTCATTCAGGAAGATCACATGAACAGAATATAATGAATAACATGAAAAACTGGCTCCAATGATACAGTGTTAACTATGTAAAATATTATTTACAATCTACGAAGAATTGATAAACATCATCATATACTGTATACTTTCCCCACACCTCATTCTTTTCTTTGTTTTTTTCTTCCAGTATTTTCTTTCTTCTCTTATTTTGAACCAATATTCTTTCTTTTTTTCCCCCTTCCTTTCCCTCATATACCTTCCCTGATTCCTTTCCTTCCCTTTTTCCTTCCCCTTTCTTCCTTCTCTCCCTCCCTCCCTTATACACCTTGCTCCTTCCTTTCTCTTCCTTTTTCTTTCTCCCCATTTCATCCTTCCTTCCTTCCTTCCTTCCTTCCTTCCTTCCTTCCTTCCTTCCTTCCTTTCTTTCTTTCTTTCTTTCTTTCTTCCCTTCCTTTTTCTTCCCTTATTTCTATTTGGTCCATCCTTTCCCTCACACTTTTAAAATATTGTTAAAATAGTGGTCCTTACTATTACAATTTGATTTAATAGTAGAGATTGAAGAATTCTATGACCAGCATTCTAAACTTTGCTTGCCATGGTTTCTCTGGTTTCATCTTATTGAGAACTCCTCTGGGTTGGAACTGTTAGACTTAAAAGTACTAGATGAACATATAAAACAATTTTGAGGAATCTGAGCCTAGGGAGGCGAAAAGGGGGAGACTTCCCAATGGTTTACTTATCCCTGCGTAGAAATGTAGATATATATAATCAGTAGCATCCTGTTTGTTTTTTCTTGTCATTTCCTTGTTCTGTTCTTCACAGAGAAGGAAAAATTGCTTACAGTACTTAATGTAAGAGATTGCTTTTCTTGAATACTGATCCCTGGTGCCTTTTGCAGCCAGCTATTTATATACCTGATTATACAATTGATACCATACATTTGCCCTATAATTGCCTTCCACCTCAGTGTTTATCCCCCAGTGTACTTGAACTTTCTGTTGTGCTAGCTGGTGGCTGCCTTTCTTGCCCCGGAGGTCTCTGCTTTTGCCAACTCATTGGGCTATTAGTTTTGTAAATCTTGTGGGGCTGAGGGATTAATTAGCAAGTGTTTTGATCTAATTAATAATATATGGAACAGGTTCTTAGCTCCTTTTGCTGCCATCTACCAAGCAAACTGCCATAATAGAATCTCATACATAATGTATCCACCATGAGGCCAGCCCTACAGTTAGACATAGTGAGGCTGCTTTTTGGCGTAGCAAGTGAAGACAAGTAGAAACGAATGGATGGAAAAGCATTAGAAGACAGAGTTTTTATATAGGACAGAGCATATTGGCCTGTCTTGTGTCCTTTAAGGATTAAACCTCTGTGTCAGCAAGACTGAAGAACGACAGGTTGCAGGTACGAATCTAGGGAGAGCGTGGATGAGCTCCCTCTATCAGCTCCAGCTCCTCATGCGGGGACATGAGAGAAGCCTCCCACAAGGATAATAAAACATCAAAACATCCGGGCGTCCCCTGGGCAACATCCTTGCAGACGGCCAATTCTCTCACACCAGAAGCGACTTTCAGTTTCTCAAGTCGCTCCTGACACGACAAAAAAGGGGGTTCAACTACAGCTGTCCCAAAAATTGGGCCCCTGATGCTGTGGAGCTGTTTAAACCCACAAGAATGATGAGGTTTGAGCCCAGATGATCAAGTCAAGCTGAAACTGCTTCACCCCAACTTGACTTATCACCCTTACTAACTGCCACAGCAGTTATCCAAAGAGCTTCTAGCCATCAATGGCCACCTTTGCTCACATTAACATGACTGCAGAGAAAAAACGAGGGTGATTCCCAATAAAGCCTTAGTTGTGTTTGAACCCAGTGAGTGATCTGTAGGAGAGCATCAAAGCTCAGAAGTTGATGATTTTATCATTCCATTAGATGGGAAGCATTTGGAAATCCCTTACAAGATCAGCGTCTGTCTTCAGTCCCATCTAAACTGCCATATGATGTAGTTTCAGAATGCAGTTTAACTTCATTGCACTGGATTATATGAATCTACACGGTTATAAAATGAAGTTCAGTGCAGTTAAACTGCATTCTGAAACTACATCATATGGCATTGTAGTTGGGGCCTGAGTGATCACTGTTTGTCTGGTTTCTGGCAGTTGGGACACTGTGGTTGCAAATGTCTCTGGTCAAAGCTACTCACTCTTACCTTACTCTTGCCCCCCTGCAGACCTTATGAACCAACTATTGTCTTGTAGTCCTCAACCTGAGACAGCCAGGTGGCATGGGGATCCTTAACTCCAAAACCTCCTTCTTGGCTTTCCACCTGGGCCTCATTGCTGGGTTCCTCAGCACCTTCTACCTCGTGGGCAACCTAATCTGGGAAAAGGCCTCGGGCCCTGACACCCAGCCACCTCATGCTTCCAAGGATCCCCAGTGGATTGTGGAAAGATCTGCTCTCTTCAGTGTTTCACACCCACATCTGGCAGGTAAGGACTAGAGGAAAAGGAAATATGAGAACATGTTGCTTCTGCCCAAAAGGCATTGGACTACAACTCCTATCAGCACTGGCCACCATGGATAGTAGTGGAGATGGGGGGGATTGCAGTCTAACAACATCTGAAGGACTTCAGTTCCCATTTCTGTAATGGAGGTTTGAACTGGACTCTCAGATAGGGGTCATCTTTTCAATGTATTTATATCTGCTTAAATGAAGGCATGGCTACAGGGCTGGTGAAAAGGATGACAGACCCCATCTAAATGCTCTCAAAACAATTGGATCAGCGGATATTGGGTGCGCTCAGAAAGTTACTGTGTTCCCGCAGCTAACCCACATTATCTTCTCGGTTTGTGGACTCTGAGATTTTCCAGTGGTACATGATTTGGGGTGCATCTGCACTGAAGAATGAATATAGTTTGACATTCAGAATTCTCAGAGTTCTCTCTTCTCACAAAGAAAAAGTTGATTTATTATCTTGTGTGAGTGTAGTGATCATCTTTTGCAGTGTTTTGCACTTCTCTTCTAATGCTGGAGTTACTTAGTGTGTACATTTTGTTTTGTGATTTTATGTCATAGTTTTTAATGTACTTGTGGCTAGAAAACTCTGGTTATAGAACTCTGATAAGTTAAAATATGTAGTTTACATTAGTAGGCCTTTGTACTGGACTGAGTGGTGGACTAAAAAAATGTCTATGAAACAAGTGAAGTTCTCAAAGATTATTTACGGTCACAAACCCTTAAATCTTGGATGAACTGTTGTGGAAAATTCATCAATAGTCACCTTGTGCTTTTGCCTCCCTTAGATGAGGAGAGCAGTGTGGCAGATATGCTGTACAACAAGGTCCGGATCCTGTGTTGGGTGATGACAGGCCCCAAAAATCTGGAGACCAAGGCCCGCCATGTCAAAGCCACCTGGTCCCGTCACTGCAACATTGTGCTTTTCATGAGCTCAGAAAAAGATGACAAATTCCCCACTGTTGGTCTGGACACCAAGGAAGGCCGCGACCAGCTCTACTGGAAGACCATTCGGGCTTTCCATTATGTGCACCAGCACCACCTAGAACAGGCAGACTGGTTCCTCAAAGCAGATGATGACACCTTTGTGGTGGTGGACAACCTCCGGTGGCTGCTCTCCAACTACACCCCTGATAGACCCATCTATTTTGGAAAGCGCTTCCGGCCTTTTGCTAAACAAGGCTACATGAGTGGAGGGGCTGGCTATGTTCTCAGCAAAGAGGCTCTGCAGCGCTTTGTGGCTGGATTTGAATCCAAGGTGTGCAGCCACACTACCTCGGTGGAGGACCTTGCTCTGGGACAGTGCATGGAGAAGATGGGTGTGGAGGCCGGGGACTCTCGGGACTCTGAGGGGCGGGAGACCTTCCATCCTTTTGTGCCAGAATCCCATTTGACAGATAAGTTCTCCAAAAGCTTTTGGTACTGGAACTATTGCTACTACCCTATTGTGGAGGTAGGTAAACATATCCTGCCTCTAACTCTTCTTTTATAGAGATGGCAATTGTAACTTTCAGGATCTTTGGTGAAAGTATTTTCCATCGATTGCTACTCTTGGAGATGATGAGGTTGAAAGTGGGGTTTTCTGCATCAAAAACACATGCTGTACCACTTCATTGTGGGACTTACAGCACGATATTTGATAGAGGCTGGAAAGAAAATGACTTTTGTGGGGCTACAGTTCTCAAAATTCTTAGAAGAGGATTCTGAGAATTGTAGTCCAGAAAGGTAACTTTTTAAAAAAGTTCTTCCTTAAGACTTAACCCATTCCAGCATATCAATTGCCTTTTCGCAAGCGAGTCAAAGAGTAAAAAAATAATAACTTCTTTGTTTGAATTTTGCCTTCCCAGTTTCTACATATGTGCTGAAGACTTGGGTAAACAAAGCAACTTGAGGTGTATCTACATTAATGTAGCTTGACACTAACTGTCATGGCTTAATACTATGGAATAATGGAAATTGAAGTTTTACAAGATCTTTAGTTCTATGTCAAAGAGTGCTGGGCCCTCACCAAACTACACATCCCAGGATTCCAAATTACCGAACCATGAGAGCTGCAACATTCTGTCACACAGCACTTGCCATCTGATGGTTCACTCTGCCTAGTAAAGGGGTTACTTCTATTCAGGAATAAGTCAGTGAACAGGGACACCTTTCTAGAATTGTGACCCAGCCTGAAATACAGAGTGGATCTACACTGTCATATAATACCATTTGGGTATTCTCAAGAAAATGTTGTGGCTCTTCTTAGAGTTATCATCCTTCATGCTTCATCCAGACTTGAGCTGTGCTTTCTGTGAGGCAGAATGACATGGTTGCTTCAGATAGCAACAACTGCACAAAAAGAAGCAACGGTGACTCGTTGGATGATAGAGCTCTGTATGTGCAAGATACGGCTGTCACTGGATACATTTCTGACCTACCTTCATTCATCCCTCCACTCCCCAGTAAATCCAACAGTCATTTACTGTTATTGCCACAATATAGACTATGTATTAGATATTTTGAGCCAACCAAAGAAACACAACAAGCTCTACAGGTTTTTGTTATTTATGCATATCTTCGCCAAGTCAAAGAAAAGTGGGAGAGGAAGGGTGGAAAGTAGCAGGAGGCACGAGATTAAAAGCCACTATAAATCGTTTCTAGGATGCAATAAGGAAGAAAAGTCAGAAGATTTCTCGAATGAGGTTCACCAGGTGAAGAGATCACAATGGATCTATCTCAGAAAAGTCCCTACTTTATGTTTCTTCTCATAGTTTCTTTAAGGAGTTCAAGGTAGTATAAATTACAGGCTGAGTCTTGAGTCCCTCTGATCCAGCCACCCAATTGCACAATTGTGGAAAGGGTCTAGTACTCACACATCCAACACACATCCAAAAGATGAAAGAGGAGGGAGGGAGGACACTGCTTATACAAGGATCCAGTAAAAACCAGATCTCCCAGATGCTTTTCCACTCACCTTCTGCTTGAGCAATGGCAGGGTGTGTTCCCTGGAAACGGGGCCATGAGATCTAGCACAGAGCAACCCTAGAGAAGAAAAGATGCAGGTTGGGGAGGCTGGATTTTGCCCTTTCTTTTGGCTATCTTGCCAAAAGTATGGAAAATAGAGTTGTGCATTCAGGGTAAACCTTGACCCGTTTCATGTCTCAGCTTTTGGCAGGGGCCCCTGATCCATTTTTGTGAGCTTCCCGAAATCAGAAGGGCAGACATGTTTTCACTCTGGGGTGCCAAAAGATCCATTTTCTATTCTATTTTCATCGGGAGCAGGGGTTGCTTCCCAAGCTCTCCTTCCATTATTTTAGGCATTTAAGCTGTTTTAGTCTAGAGGAGAGGCACTCAGCTGCAGGCAGGTGTGTGCTTTAAGGAACCTTCTTACATGTTTCTTACTCTAAATGAGGTGCTTAGTTGGAGGCAAGCATGCATGCTTTCTAGCCTGCACACCACACACACTCTCTTCCCAAGGCAAGAAGGCGAGTTCTGTTTCTAATCTAGAGGAGGTTTTTGCCTGCAGGCAGGCATGCATGCTTTTTCCAAGGCAAAGAGTCAAGTTCTGTTTCTCTACTCTAGAGGGGGTGCTTGGTTGCAGGCCGTTGCGTGCACTTTTTCCAAGGCAAGGAGGCAAGTTCTGTTTCTCTAGAGGAGGGGCATGGCTGCAGGCAGGTGCATGCGCTTTCTGGGCCTGCATGCTACATATGCACTCTTTCCAAGGCAAGGAGGCTGCTCATGAAAAGCAGGTGAGGAGCCAGGATTTGCTCCCGGTTGCTTTCATGTTGAGCTAATTTTCATGCCAGGAGGGGCCTTCCCATTATGTGCTCCCAAAGGTAACAAAAGTAACGAAAGAACAGATCATCTGAAGGGTGCTTGAAATGATGTCAAAGAAGACAGTGCTATTTTTTAGCTTTTGTAGCTTCTATATAAGGGCATTTTGGAAAGTGTAGCTTGCATGACATTCTGCCCTAGGAGTATCCCCTCTTTAGGTGAAATGAAGAAGCAGCCTGCTTTTTCTTTCTTTCTTTCTTTTTTTTTTTGGCCCCTGATCTCTGTTGTTTTCTTCCTACCCAGGCTCCGTATTTTTCCACTCTGAACTGTCACTTTCTCCTTGATGGCAGCCACACGTGTTGGCCCCAGGGATAATCCGATAGAGTTAATAGCATTAACCACTTTGCCTTTTCAGGCGGCAGAGTGGGCCAGGAATGGAGCACAGGCCTCCTTTCATTTTGAAAGGGAGAGCATCATGCACAACCCACAGGTTGTATACAAGGAGGCAAATCGGGGAGACTTGGGGACAGTCCACTCTCTTCAACGTGAGAGTGAGGAACTTGGAAGTAAAGGTGCCCAAGAGATGTTTGGCCTGAGAACTGGAGGGAGAGACCCAAGGGGATTAAGCGATTAGAATAATTGGGAGATTAGCAAAATGCTGTGAGCTGTTGTGGAAAAAAGCCAACAGGATTGTTGTCTTTCAGTGGGACCGTGATTCCCAGGTAACACATGGTTGTTTTTCTTAGGGCCTTTCTTGCCACCACTTAGCATTTGGTGGGGTAAAGAGATGGGCATGGATTTTGTTGCTTGTTCTGTGTTCCTTCAAGTCAATAATAATAATAATAATAATAATAATAATAATACTCCTGACCTCACGATCGTGTTAAAAAATAAAGTATGGATTTTTGATGTTGCAATCTCGGGTGACAGCAGGATTGAAGAAAAACAACTAGAAAAGATGACACAATATGAGGATTTAAAGCTCGAACTGCAAAGACCCTGGCACAAACCAGTAAAGGTGGTCCCAGTGGTGATCGGCACACTGGGTGCAGTGCCTAAAGACCTTGGCCTGTACTTGAACATAATTGGCGCTGACAAGATTACCATCTGCCAGCTACAAAAGGCCACCTTACTGGGATCTGCATGCATTATTTGCAGAAACATCACATAGTCCTAGACACTTGGGAAGTGTCCGAGGTGTGATCCAATACAACAGCCAGCAGTCTGTTGTGGATTCATCTTGTGGTGTTTCAAATAATAATAATAATTATTATTATTATTATTATTTATTTATTTATTTATATTCCACTCTATCTCCCCGAAGGGACTCGGGGCAGATTCCAAACATAAAAGGCAAGCATTCAGTGACCGAATACAACAACATCCATACTATCACAATTTAAACAACCCAACATATAAACACGAAATATGACTTAACAACTAAAATTAAGTAAAAATCACAGCCTGTTATAACAGACATAGCAGAATAAGACAAAACATCAAACAACGTCATTTCTGATTAATGGTTACCCTAAGGCGAACAATTGCATCATGGGGCTTTACACCAATTTCATAAGTTACTCTGTGAAATATCTAAGTAGATTGGGCTATGGCAAAACTACATTTTTTATCCAGAGTCTGTTTGTCTTCTGTTCTCTGTTTTCTGGTGGAAAAGGATGATTGTTAAATTTAATGGTTTTAACTCTTCTGCTGTTGACCTTGTTTTTCCTGTTCTTCGCAGGGTCCCCAGTGCTGCTCTGATCTGGCTGTCTCCTTCCACTATGTGAACCCAGAGCTGATGTACACGCTGGAATATTTGACATACCACCTGCGTGCCTATGGTTACCGCTACCGCTACCATCCACCTCTGTCGGAGAATGCAGCTCACCTCAAGCCCCACCCAGCAAGAAAGGCCCCAGAGAGGGCCAACACCACCATCCTGCAGGTGGAGAAGAAGTTGTAGCGATGGACATTTGGCACATGACTCTTAAGATTCAGTTCAGCCACCATGTGCTACCTGTACCATACCAGTGCCTCAATTCCAGTGCTCCTTAAAAGGCAGCCCACTCCCAGATATGGAGGGGAACAAGGAGTTGAATGGGGAAAAGCGGGGACTTAGAGCTCTGCTGGTAATAGATACCTACTGGAAAGTGACTTGCACATGACCATACGATCATCACACAAATGACTGTAGACTGAGGAAGTAGAAATGCCAGTCACCTGCATTTTGCCACAGAAGGGGGAATAGGTAGAATCCTGGCTAGACATATAGGTATCATTGCAGTGGGAAAGTCATAGAGCCTCCACTCCAAGGAAGAAAGGAGGAACACAGATTAGTTGTAACCTTTCAACCCGGGTTGGCTTTACAAGATGAGAGAGGCAGTGTGATGTAGTGGTTTGAGTGTTGGGATTGTGACTCTGGAGACCAGGATTTGAGTGCTCAAATGACCGTGGAAGCCACTGGAAGATCTTGGCAAGCCACACTCTCTCAGCCTTAAAGGGAAGGGAAGGGAAAATTTCCTCCGAACAAATCTTGCCAAGGAAACCCTGTGATAAGTTTGTCTTAGGGTCAAAATAAGTCAGAAATGTCTTCAAGGCACACAGCAGCAACAAGAGTAATTACAAAATGAATTGCCTTGTGGAATGGGCTATTGCCACTTTTTCCCTGCATTCATTGCTGTAGTTCCGTGGTGCTTTTTGTTAAGCTATCTGTCTTTTTCATAATTGGGTCTCGTGATATTCCAGGTGGAAGATGCCTAAGCAATCCACAGAGTGGACCTGCAGTCAGTATCTCTCTCTTTGTTGTAAGACTACATCTCCAGTCAGCCCTCACAAAGGAAGGTGGAAGTTGCAATTTAACAGTATCAGAGAGCTACAAGTTGTTTATAATTGCTTTAGATGGCTGGTTGTCAGTTGCTGGAATGGAATCCACAAGTAACAGTGGGTGCATATTATCCAGCTCAATTCAGAATTAGCACCAGCAAACAAAGCCACGTTGCTATTTTGAAATTTAGTTCCCCCTCCCCCCACCTTTTTCTGCTGCCTGGAACTGGAAACATGGCAATATCCAAATGACTCCTGGAATCAAAGGTTGCACATTTTTCTCCCTCTATCCTTGCTGTCTTTCACACTAGGGAAATGTAGGGTTTTTTTTTTTTTAATGTTCAAGGCATTTGAGCTTGGAAACTATGCACATTCCAGTGGGTGTATAAGTTCTAAGGTTCCTACTATTTCAGCTATAGTTTTGGCCACTAATCCTCTCTCATACTACTTTTCAATGGTTTTTTAAACGTCCCAAGCCCCATCTACTCTGCCATATTATGCCATTTCAGAATGCAGTTTGACTACATTGAACTGTATTAAATGGTAGTGTATATAAACAAGGCTCCTTCCACACAGCTGAATCAAATCCCACATTTTCTGCTTTGAACTGGAATATATGGCAATATCTACTCAGATAACCCAGTTCGAAGCAGATATTGTGGGATTTTCTGCTTTGATATTCTGTGTTTTATGGCTGTGTGGAAGGACCCCAAGTTCAATGCAGTTCTGAACCTGCATTATATGGTGGTATGGATGGGGCCACAGTTTTTTTCCTCTCCCTTTGTCCCCAACTTACTTCAACTGCTGCAAACTGAGTTCAAAGTGCAAAAGTAGGAAGAGGAGGAGACGAAGCAAAATCTTTCTCTGTAAACTCAAGCCAGAGCAAACAGCTAGGTACACCTTTTAGCTTAAGTGTTCTTCCTCATTAATACATTTAGTCAACTTGACCTCACTCTGATGTTGCTGGGCCACATTTACCCCAATTACCATCCGTGAACTGAGTGGAGAAGTTTAGATTTGCAGCAGCTCCGGTTAGATGCTGAGTCAAGGACTCTCTTCATAATAAAAGTCAACAACATAGACAGAAGTAGCACATTATGGAACAGCAAGAATGAAGATCAGCATCTTCACAGAAACATCTCATCCCAAAGTTACATCCTGGTCCTCTGATTTGACTTTTTTTTCTTATGGAAAAAGTAGAAAAGAGGGAAAGAATTGGATCTCTTCTTGAACTTATAGTAGGACTCTGAAAAGGTTGCGGATCTCCACATGGGTCTCCATCCATGGGAATTAAGATGCTGTTATATAATAGGAATCTTGTCATTAGGAAATGGTTTTTCCTGCCAAAGTTTATGGTTTTTCTCAGAATAACCTGTGATAGGGCCAATTTAAGGCACATACCAACATGAACAGACCAATTGAGATCAGAGATAGGCATAACGGACATGCTCAGTTTAATACAGTTATCCTTTGATGGATGCACTCTTGAGAAATGAGTCTCCAGCTCAATGTTCTCTGCCATATAATCTAGTTCAAAACAGATAGTCTGGATTCAGAAACCAGATTGTAAGGCAGTGTAGATGGAGCCTCCATTGAAATAAATGTGATGTATTTGGCAGTCTTTCTGATACTCTTGCCTGTGTAGCAAGAAACTAGACAGCTGGTTGCTGAGCTGTTATGTTTCTACTCTAAGATTAGTTCTTTGGTATACCTGGCACTGAGTTTTCTTAGCCCCCTGATATTTCCTTCTTTAAAGAGAGACATATCAGGACCTTAAACATCTGGATTTTCTCTGCACTGTGCCTTTTTGACCTAATGCCTTGGAGACTTGGGGGATGTCATTTATTTAGAGTACCTCATGTTCCTTCCTTCAGTGGAGGATGACTTCCACTGGGACATACTTCCAGTTTTGCATGGACAACAGTTGCTTCTATGGAAATGAATGGGAAATGGCAGTTATGGTGGTGTCATATGGAGGAATTAAGAGCAGGAGGAAAGGGGACTGGATTGGTACTTCATGTTTTCTTACAGCTAATGATCATATTTTTCAAACAAATGATGACAAAGTTGATGATTGCCAACATATGTCCTTTATAGTCCTATGAAAGGTAAAGGTAAAAGTTTCCCCTTGATATTAGGTCTAGTCTTGTCTGACTCTGGGGTTTGGTGCTCATCTCCATTTCTATATATAATATAAAACTTTATTTATATACCGCTCTTATCTTCTCGAGGTGGACTCAGGGCAGTTTCCATGAAACATACAAAGTAAACAGCATAATATAAAATTAACAAAACAACATAAGCATAAAATTATGACAGTAACACATGTATAGGAAAGTTCTGAGAGTGCCTTGGGCTGCGAGAAGATCCAACCAGTCCATACTTCAGGAAATAAAGCCCGACCGCTTATTCGAGGGAAGGATATTAGAGAAAAACTTGAAGTACTTTGGCCAAATCATGAGGAGACAGGAAAGCTTAGAGAAGACAATGATGCTGGGGAAAAAATGGAAGGAAAAAGGAAGAGGGGTCGACCAAGGGCAAGATGGATGGATGGCATCCTTGAAGTGACTGGCTTGACTCTGAAGGAGCTGGGGGTGGTGACGGCCGACAGGGAGGTCTGGTATGGGCTGGTCCATGAGGTCACAAAGAGTCAGAAATGACTGAACGAATGAACAGCAAGAACAAATTAGAGGGATGACTGGGGTAATAGGTAAGAAGTGCAAGGCCATATTCAACAATATTTTGGCCTGGACTAGAACTGGTCATTTCTAAGCTGAAGAGCCAGCATTGTCCAAAGACACCTTCAAGGTCATGTGGCCCCAGATTTGAACCACCAACCTTTTGGTCAGCAAGTTCAGCAGATCAGCAGTTTAACCTACTGTGCCATGGGGGGGGGGGGTCCACAAAAGGGTCAGTAGAGCATTCATTTCCCCTCCATTCTTGACAGATGGGTGCCAGAACACACACAAAGACATCCCAGCCAAGCTCGTCAACTATCTAGATTTGAAGCATTACAGGATGTTTTGAGGAGTAAAATTATTTGTGCAAAAATATTGGTTCAGCAGTTATGATCCCACTCTGGTGTCCTCCCAAAGGTCATGTAAATTGGGGCACTGGGAAATGACATCCGCAGTATGCTCTTATGTATGCAGACACTTCTCATCGAGGGGGAGAGGAAAAACTTGAAATTCTTTATTGTGGTATGTAAGAGTAACACAAGTGAAGAGTTATGTCCCTATTGATCATTGTGTTTTTCTGGAATTGAATGCTAACATTCAGTATTTGTTGTAAATACATTTTTTTTCAAACATGACTTGATAAAAAATGTTGATCTCAAAAATGTTTCCAGAGTTCAAATTTTGAATTCAGTTTGCAAGTCAACTAAGCCACAGTGCGTGCAACACATCTGGCTGAAATGGCCTTCCCTTGGCCCTCTTGTTCTCAGACACCATAAAAATGTTATATACAGTGTCAGGGGACCATTTATGTAATTATATGTTCAGAACCCTTCTATTCATATGAGGCAAACCCTGGACCCAGTCCAGTCCTTCTGCTGCGATTATACCTTCAGCACTGTTCTCTGATGGAAAATGATTAGAAAATGTTAAGATCTCCACATTTTATTAGCCAAATCAGATTGTGAGAGAACATACTGCACATCTTAGAATTTAAGGTTTTATTCCAAAACTTTACACCAACACGGAAAAGCTACATGTTATAGCTATGTCGTGTTATTTCTGATTTAAGTTCAGAAGGGGTTTGCTATTGCCTTCTGCTGAGGCTGAGAAAGTGCGACTTTCCTAAGATCATCCAGTGGGTCTTCATGGTAGGGATTTGAACCCTGTTCTCCAAAGTCATAGGCTGAGGCTCCAAATCATTCTACCATGCTGGCTCTCTTATTGCTAAGTCCTGCCAATTCATGTCCCTATCTATATCAGAGTGGTCCATTCAAGATTAGGTAATGTCTCATTTTCTTAGGTACCATATTATAGTAAAACAGTGCCCTCTTTTAATATTAAAACATTGTCTAAGGCTTCTGTCTTTACTAGTTTACATTTTAACATTAAATCGTTCAGTGGTTCACATTTTGACATCATCAATGGCTTTTTTGACCTTTGATAAAGAATAAATGTGTACTAGAGCCAAAGATAAGAGTCCATGTATTCCAAAGGCACAAACCCCATCTGATCTTTTAGCAAAGCAGAGTTTGTCCTGGTTAGTACTTGGATGGGAGACCAACAAATACCAGGTGCTGTAGGCTACATTTCAGAAGGAGGAACTGGCAAAATCAAATCTTAGTATTTTTTTACATGGAGTCCTCACAGGGTCCTTCCACACAGCCCTACATCCCAGAATATCATGGCAGAAAATCCAACAATATCTGCTTTTAACTGGGGTAATGTGGGATTTTCTGCCTTGATATTCTGGGATATAGGGCTGTGTGGAAAGGTCCTCAGATCACCAGGAGACTTGAAAGCATTTACACAGACATTATGCACGGCTAGGGAAAATAAGATGAGCTGTTAACCGGAAATGTTTTTGTAAATGCTGTGCTACAGAAATCTTACATGTGTAACCACATGTAAATGACACTTGGGACCTTCCACATGGCCATAGGTAAAGGTAAAGGTTGACCCCTAACATTAAGTCCAGTCGTGTCTGACTCTGGAGTGTGGTGCTCATCTCCATTTCTAAGCCAAAGAGCCAGCATTGTCCATAGACACCTCCAAGGTCATGTGGCCAGTGTGACTGCATGGAGCGCTGTTATATGGCCACATGACCATATAACCCTGAATATCAAAGCAGAAAATCTCACAAGATCTGCTTTGAACTGAGATATATGGCAATGTGGACTCAGGGCCCTTCCACACAGCCATATAACCCAGAATATCAAGGCAGAACATCTCAAAAACTCTACTTTGAACTGGGTTATCTGAGTCCACACTGCCATATATTCCAGTTCAAAGCAGATAATGTGGGATTCCCTGCCTTGATATCCTGGCATATAGGGCTGTGTGGAAGGGCCCCGAGTCCTACTTAAGACTGACGGTAGCCTTAAATTGGGATAAGAAGAGATCAGTCAGCTTGGAGCATTTTTACAGAATAGTTGTGTCATGGAGTAACATGCTTATCCCTCTCACTGAAATCAACAGAATTTTGAAATGTTTGAGCTAGAGTGGATTGCACCTGGATCTCTTTTCTGATGGGAAAATAGATAATTATGGATTGTAGATATAGTAATTATTGATAGAGTGAAAGAAGTCTGCCTCCAATGTTAAGGTGATTTCACCTGTTCATGGAAAAGATCCTTTTTCATGTCAGGTTGACAAAATATGAACCACTTTTTCCTCGGTAAAGAATAGGTAAAGATTTCCCCTTTTCAATTAAGTCTAGTTGAGTCCAGCTCTGGGGGGTGGTGCTCATCTCCATTTCTAAGCCAAAGAGCCAGCGTTGTCTGTAGACACCTCCAAGGTCATGTGGCCGGCATGACTGCATGGAGCGCCGTTACCTTCCCGCAGAAGCAGTACCTATTGATCTACTCACATTTGCATGTTTTCCAACTGCTAGGTTGTCAAAAACTGGGACTAACAAGTGGGTTCTCATCCCACACCCCGGATTTGAACTTCCAACCCTTTGGTCAGCAAGTGTAGCAGCTCAGTGGTTTAACCCGCTGCACCACCAGAGGACCATTCCCCCCCCCCTAATTTTTTAAAAAATCTGATGATTTAGTTTTCCCTTAAAATGTTGTCCAAGGGAAGATAAGGGTCCACCAACAAAATTAATACAGACAGACAAAGTCAACAAAGATGTTTTTATTTGGAATAGGTAAAAAGCATTCTACCTTGAGTGCAGGGATGAAGGGTTCAGGGGAAGCAGAAATGAAGTAGAAAAAGACTGATCTTGGGAATGGTTGGGAAAAAGTGTGGAGGAAAGGGGAGCATGAGATCATGGGCTAGACTAAATTTTTACAAATGTTATTTTACATATTAAAAATAAGAGGTTGTTCTGTTTTCTAGGTAACAACAATCTGTTCTTCTTCTCACTCCGCACTTAACAACACTCTGCCTTCCTGCCTCTCTCCTTGGTTCACAAATTTCAAAAGTAAAAGAATAGAAATAAAAAAGCATGACGGAGGCTGGGTGGGGGGAGAGAGAAAAAGAGGGAAAAGGATGGCAAGTGTTGTTTATTTAATTTACACCAAACTTGCTGTGTTGGCTCCAGAATTATAAAACAATTTTTGCACCTTTGTGCAGAACTTTGTGTCAAAAGCTTACTGATTATGGTCACAGTTAGCCTAATAAAATTACATCACTTTTATAAAAATGTACAGCAATTAAAGTAACTTTGGAGATGCTTCTGAGGAAACTGGCCATCTCCCAAGTTTAAAACAGGAAGGGAGCTCAGGACAAGAAAACACAAATGTCTTAGCACCACTATGACTGCAGGAGGGCAATGTTTCCCCAACCTGTGTCTCAGCTCTTTTGTAAGTTTGGCAGTATAATTACAAATAGGAATTAATAGTCTTTGTCTTGGGATTTTTTCTTTTTTGGTTTGGTTTTGGTGTTTTTTTTCTTTTAGTGTGAGGTAGCTTTAAAACCATGGAAGTTTGAAAGTTTACCCTATGACTTCATTGATGGGAGGGGAGAGAAAAGGAAGAGACGACAAAGGAGATGGGAGAAGACTCAGACTCGGTAGAATTCAGTATGGTGGACAGAAGCAAAATAACAACAAACATCAGATCAACTTGTACTTTCCAACGAAGGTTTTTATATCAACTGATGTTAAAAAATACAGACTTGTTTTACAATAATAGCACCATCTTTAGTATTATACACAGTAATCTTGCTTGTGATACACACCCAGGCTGGGGAAGAATTGGCTACAACCTTGTATGTGGGACATCAACATTGTGGGGGGGAAGGAAGGGACCCTTCATGCATTCCAGTTAGCTTCCTACCTCCATCTGACCCAAGAAAGGCCTTACAGGAAGACAATAAATAAATAATATCATTATTTGTTGTTCCTTTTTTGTTTCTTCTGCTTGTTTTGCAGTCTGCCCGCATGATGGCGGCCTCAGATATTGAGAGAGAGAAAGAGAGAGACCAAAATGTAAGCGTTTTGGAAAAGGGACAGGATTCTTTTTCCGACTGTTCAGTGCAGAAAGTCCTACAAGTGATTGGGAAGTATGTGGGTCCTTGGGTTGGTTTCATATGGTACTGGACTGGTTTTTTAAAAAATAATTTTAATTATTTAAATTTTTGTTCTTTTACAAAAAGCACACGGGGCCAATGTCAACGCCGAATTCCTGATTAGCTCCACCAATGTCCATAGGTGCAATGTCAACGATGGGCAGGCGTGAGGTCTTCTGAGATCTGTATTCAATTATTGTCTTACCCCATTTGCCAGTGTGTTTCTGGAAGGAAAGCGGAAAACATATTTAAGTCCTACATAAGCCAGTTGAAATCAACTAATCAGATCAGGAAAAGAAACTGGAACACATCTGGAAAGCAATCAGATAAATGCTAAATGCATTAAAGAGTGTTGGACTATAGTGTCATTGCTTAAGTTTGGGTGGGAACTGTGTTTTAGATATTGGGGGACCACAGTTCTCAGCATTTCTTAAAATTGCAATGGTAGCTAAAGTGGTTGGGAGCACTAGTTGAACAACATCTGGAGAGCTGTGCAATAGCCCCCCCCCCCTTTTTCTAAACAACAATTTTTGAGTTTGGCACAGCAAGGAAAATTCTGTTTAACGTTTGGAACATCTCTGTGTCACCTAGACTGAGGAGGATGGAGACATACTTGGAACATACTGCAGAATGAGACCCCACTTTACAAGGTTGACATAGGATTTTTGTGCGCTCTTGCCATCTCAACAGGAATACTCTCAATGGACCACTAAAGCTGTGGCTGTCCTACTATGGACTCCATACCAAAACTGATACTCAAAAGTGCTTTGCAATGCCCTTGTTTTTCTTTCATACAATTAATATTTAATTCTATTTTAATGTTTGTATACTTTTAGGTTATAAATTGCATTGTATTGGTTTGACTGTAACCCGTTTTGAGTCTCTTTTTTAGAAAGAAAAAAATGGTTTTAATAATAATCATAATTTATATAAATAAAAATGTAATGATCATTTGTGGGATTAACAGAACTCAAAAACCCCTGGACGAATTGCCACCAAATTTTGCAGCAAAACACATTCTAATCCAATCTATATCTTCCAGACAAAAAATCTTAAAAAATGAAGGGGAAATGACTTTAATATCCTCCCCCCCCCCCCCCCCGCAAAAAAAAACCTAACAGAGCATGCGCAAAAGGTCCTCTCCCCAGTGTGCAAGAAGACTTACGCACCAACCGTTCTGAGGGAAGAGGAGCCTCGCCATGGAGTGCCTTTATCAAGACCTCAAAAACTCAGCCATTATCAAGACCTCAAAACTGAACTGCAAAGGCTCTGGCATAAACCAGTACAGGTGGTCCCAATGATTATTGGCGCACTGGGTGCCGTGCCAAAAGATCTCAGTCGGCATTTGGAAACAATAAACATTGACAAAATGAGGAGGGCGACTAAAATGATCAAGGGTCTGGAGAAGAAGCCCTATGAGGAGCGGCTTAAGGAGCTGGGCATGTTTAGTCTGAAGAAGAGAAGGCTGAGAGGAGATATGATAGCCATGTATAAATATGTGAGAGGAAGTCACAGGGAGGAGGGAGCAAGTTTGTTTTCTGCTTCCTTGGAGACTAGGACGCGGAACAATGGCTTCAAACTACAAGAGAGGAGATTCCATCTGAACACGAGGAAGAACTTCCTGACTGTGAGAGCCGTTCAGCAGTGGAACTCTCTGCCCCGGAGTGTGGTGGAGGTTCCTTCTTTGGAAGCTTTTAAACAGAGGCTGGATGGCCATCTGTCAGGGGTGATTTGAATGCAATATTCCTGCTTCTTGGCAGGGGGTTGGACTGGATGGCCCATGAGGTCTCTTCCAACTCTTTGATTTTATGATTCTATGAAAATCATAATCTGTCAACTGCAAAAGGCTACCTTACTTCGATCTGCGCACATCATTCAAAAATACATCACACAGTCCTAGACGCTTGGGAAGTGTTCGACTTGTGATTTTTTAAAATACGAAATCCAGCATATAGATCTCGTTTGCTGTGACATACTGTGCTTTTGTGTCAGTAATCTATATAATGATAGTGATAATAATACTAAGATGTCTCCCCATTTTAAGTTCTCCAGATATCCCAATTATGCTGGGCCTGTAGCAGAGGCAGCAAGCACCCCACTTCCCTATCTACTTACCGTGCAGCCATCCTGCAAGGCACTGTATGTAAACCTGCTGTTGCCCTCAGCTCTGATCTCCACATCATTGGATCCCTGGATCAGGAGAGCTTTCTTAAGGTTCCCAGAGGCCTCGTCCATGTAGGCAATGCTGTTCTTGCAGTGGTAGGTGAGGTTCTGTGAGCCTTCCGTTGACAAGAGGCGCAGGAAAGTCATCTGGATGTTGGCAGTGTTAGGAGCCAAGTTGTCATCTCCGTAGCTAAACTGAAAGGGAAGGATGAGAGGATGAAAGGCTCGTATAAAAACAAAAGCAAAGGGAGCAGAAAGCAAACATATTTCCCACAAAGACAAAAGGGACTTAGAACAGGAGAAGGAAACCCAATAAGGAGCTATCTGGCAGGATTTAAATGAGATAAAATATAAACTGTTCTACTGGATACAGCTAGCCTTATGCAGTAAGCCGCTTTGAGTCCCCTTTGGGGTGAGAAGAGAGGGATATAAATATAGTAAATAAATACATAAATAAATACCTAATTTTATGCATATACTGCATTTATATCCCTCCTGCCTCAAGGTAGCACATATTTATTATACTTATTAGCATTTATTTATACAGCCCCATCAATGTATGTGGTGTTTAAAAAGGAAAACAGCCAAAAAATGGCATGCAATCTTAAGAAATATGTGTATACACATACACACAATGGGAAAGAAGGAATAACACAATATAAAACTATATAACAATAAAACAATTTTAAAAATAGAATATCATATAAAGCAAACTCAACAAAACATGTAATCGGAATACACGAGTTTATAAAACAATATTAAAATAAATTTCTTTGAAAATAAGCTTTTGAGATTTCAACTATTTTTAATATCATCAATCTGTAATTCTATTTGAATGTTTGTATCTTTTTAGATTTCAAATTGTATTGTGTTGGTTTATGGTAAGCCACGTTGAGTCTTTCTTTCTTATAACAACAACGACAACAACAACAACAACATAATAATAATAATAATAATAATAATAATAATACTAATAATAATAATAAACAAAGTATGGATTGTCAATGTTGCAATCCCAGGCGACAGCAGGATTGAAGAGAAACAACTGGAAAAGCTGACACGATATGAGGATTTAAAGATCGAACTGCAAAGACTCTGGCACAAGGTGGTCCCAGTGGTGATTGGCATATTGGGTGCAGTGCCTAAAGACCTTGGCGTGTACTTAAACACAATCGGCACTGATGAAATTACCATCTTCCAGCTGCAGAAGGCCACCTTACTGGGATCTGCACGCATCATTTGCCGATACATCACACAGTCCTAGACACTTGGGAAATGTCTGATGTATGATCCAATACAACAGCCAGCAGAGTGTCTGCTGTGGACTCATCTTGTTGTGTTTCAAATAATAATAATAATAATAATAATAATAATAATAATAATAATATCAGTGAAGGAGCAATCCACAAATTTCAGTGCAGCAATTCTAAGAGTATGGGAAAAGATGAAGCTGAGCCAAGGAAGAAGAAACCCCTGACTGGGCAGAAAGCTTAACATTCTTACTATTCAGATCTCAAGAAGGCTGGTCAAAATAAACCAGGGCTGAAAGATGAGGTGAGTGGGGAGCTAGGTTGTGTCAGGATTTGAACATTAAAATAAGAAGCTTGTGATGACTCCACCTGCTTCTACATTATTAACTGATCCTGCTATTGTTTTCCTCATGAGATAGATGAGCCTGAATGATAGAGTGATACAAACATTCATTTCTAAGCCGTAGACACCTCCAAGGTCATGTGGCCAGTATGACTGCATGGAGCGTCGTTACCTTCCTGCTGGAGCAGTACCTATTTATCTATTCACATTTGCATGTTTTCTAACTTCTAGGTTGGCGGAAGCTGGGGCTATCAATGGGAGTTCATTCCGCTCTGCAGATTTGAACCACTGACCTTTTGGTCAGCAAGTTCCACAGCTCAGTGGTTTAACTTGCTGTGCCACCATTGCTCCTTTGTAAGAGATACATACACATAAATTGTAATGTATGGGGATCCAACAAACCTGCTCAAGTTAATCAAGGTAAATCAAGCAGGTGAAATTAATTGGAAAGGATGACTATTAATAACTTAATGTGACACACAGCTCTGCTCTAAGGACTGTAGCTGCTTGTCTTGTGCATCAAAAAAAGAATCTGGCTTAAGGATGTGAATTTGGGTCTTTGCAGTCTTATTCAATTACTCTGACTACTGTAGGAGTTGTGCTCGCAAAATTACTAAGCAGTAGAAAATGAGAGATTTGTTAGAACTATTTCTAGCTGGGCCTTTTAAAAGGTGGCTTGGTGGTACATATTTCACTGCCCTTTCTTCTGAATGTACTGTCTCATCAGCACATTGATTTCCAAGTTGTGGATGGAAAACAACACACATGGAGGGATTAGAAGACAAGCTTGATTGGTAGTAAAGGAAAGGGGATCCTGAAATAGAAGACCCACACACAACTGATGACACATTTGGTGCCCCATCCAAGACAAGCCAATCAGAAATGTGGTTCTGTCCAGGGCCACTTACGTGGAAACCTCCATTGATGGTCTCTCCGAACCAGACATGCTTCTTATCCTTGCTCTTGCTTGTCCACCAGTTCTTCTTGGGAATGCTGCTAGGCTTGGGATAGACACAAGTCTCTCCAGTCTCCATATTGCAGAAAACCTTGATGGCATCCAAAGTGCAGCCCTGGTTTGGATCAATCCAATAGTCACCTGCAAAATGGAGAAAGATGTAGTCAGAACAATGTTTCCTTGGACATACATTCATATGCTCCACTCATCACCCTTTTTCTGGGCGATATTAATGCTGCAAGGGCCACTTTTCTATTCTCTTGGGGCATAAGAAAGCTAAATAACGAATACCGCCACTAGAAGAATGAAGGGATTAAATAACCTGAAGACACTAGATAATATTTGATTTTTGAAGTTAAACAGATTCAGGCCTGCTTGGTATTTGGATGGGACATAGCAAAGAAATGCCAGCTACTGTAGGTTGAATTTCAGAGGAAGACAATGACAAACCACTCCTGAGTGGGTTCACTATAGGTCAATAGGTAACCTATTGATACAGACCATACACAAGGAGACTGGAACTAAAGACCAGAGTTGAATGATTTGTCCCATCTATAGTAGACACGTTCAATGAATGGGGACTTAATAATAATAATAATAATAATAATAATAATAATAATAATAATAATCTTTATTTATAACCCGCCACCATCTCCCCAAAGGGGACTCGGGGCAGCTAACATGAGGCCAGGCCCAAAATAATACAACCTAATAAGCACACAATAACAAAATACATCACAACAAAACATGAAATAGCAAATAAAACAATAAGTTCCATTCACTCACTGGGGTCTACCCTATTTGGGACTTTGTGTGTGTGTGTGTGTGTGTGTGTGTGTGTCAGGAGCAACTTGAGAAACTACAAGTCACTTCTGGTGTGAGAGAATTGGCCATCTGCAAGGACATTGTCCAGGGGATGCCCAGAAGTTTGATTTTTACCATCCTTGTGGGAGGCTTCTCTCATATCTCCACATGGGGAGCTGGAGCTGACAGAGGGAGCTCAACTCACTCTCCCCGGATTCAAACCACTGACATGTTTGTCAGCAGTCCTGCTGGTACAAAGGTTTAACCCATTGCACCACTGGGGGCTGTTAATTGGGACTAACAATTGTTTTAAGGCTTGTAAGTACCAGATCATGAACGGAAAGTTTAAAACCAAAATAAATTAAAATAAAATAAGAATAAATAATAAACAGATAAATTATAAAAGCAGCAAATTATTCTGGACACTGTTTCAGTTGTTGCTTTTGATTTTTAAAGCAACAACTAAAAAGTGATAGTTGAAATGCCGTCTTCTGATTTTCATACTGTATTATTGCTCTGTAAACATATACCTTACTGACTGCCTGCGGGTCAAAATATTTCAATAGAAGTGTTAACAAACTCTTGCCACAAGATCTAGCAAGCACATGCCCTGAGTGATGAAAGGCAGAGTCTTCTCTAGGCTCATTGTTATGCTTCTGAGCAGCAGAAAGCTGTGTGTATCCCCCCTTCAAACCAGCCAGTATCAAGTCCCAGTAAGGCTCACCACTCTTCCATTCAGGGTGGCAGAGTTTCAGGTCACGGCAAGTACGAGCTGGGTTTTTCCTGCTGCCTTCTGGACTTCGGATGCTTTCAATCTGGTTGTTGAGTGACTTCAGGGTAGCATCGACCTCAACATCATGCTGCCGCAGGTTTCCAGAAGACTGGTCGTCTCGCATGTAACGGAGAGGATCAGGCCCTTTCTCCCTCCCACCCAGGCCAGCAAAGGCTGACATGTCAATACCAGGACCAGGAGGGCCAGGAGGACCAGGAGGTCCAGGATTTCCAGGAGGACCCTGCAGGGTGGAAGGAAAGAGGACAGTCCTGTAGTGCTTGCCGTTGAACAAACAGTAACTCTCTCTATGTTGTTTCTACAAGGTTTTCCTATACCAAAAATATAAATATATGAAATATTTATGCATTTAAAATATTTAAATATAAAATATTTAACTGGAAATATCAGACATTGACTGAAGATCAGCATCTAGCTCACATCTCCATACATAGTAAACATAAAGGTTTCCCCTTGACATTAAGTCTAGTTGTGTCCAACTTGGAGGAGGGGTGCTCATCTTCCTTTCTAAGCCAAAGAGCTGGCGTTGTCCATAGACGCCTTTAAGGTCATGTGGCCAGCATGACTGCATGGAGTGCCGTTACCTTCCCGCCAAAGCAGTACCTATTGATTTACTCACATTTGCATGTTTTTGAACTGCTAGGTTGGCAGGAGCTCACCCCTCTCCCTGGATTCGAACCTCCAACCTTTCGGTCAGCAAGTTCAGCAGCAGTGGTTTAACCTACTGCGCCACCAGGGTTTTACATCAAAAGGAAATAAAATTGAGTTTTCCAATGTCTTTATTAGGCAAGAGGTTGCTGTGATATTAGATTGTAAGGGAGCCAGGGAAATAACTAGCGTGTAGAACAGATGCCAATACTCACTGGGCACTCCCAATGCCTTCCTGGATACTTGCTAAAGAGTGTTGGTGTACCTTGGTAGGGACCGAGGTACTTTAGGACACCGACTGTGCCGATAATGGATCTTCACTATTCATTATACATCTAAGTATGCACAAAATTGTGCAATGTAATAATGATATAGAATCACCATACTTAAAATGGACCAAGACACAGTCCTGATAACTTAGAAAAGCTCTGCCTTTTCTCAGCAGGAAGAGGGTTTAAGCTGTCCTCAAAGAATGAAAACGCAGGGTAACTGTGACTATTTTCACCTTGGATATGATGTATCATACTTTACATTTAGACCTTTCTCTGGCTACTTACAGCTGGGCCAGTTTCACCACTACGACCACGTGGACCAGGAGGACCAATTGGACCAGGCATGCCATTGGAACCATCTTTGCCAGAGGGGCCAACAGGGCCTGGGGGACCCTAGAAGAGAAGCAGAAGGGATACATTAGAACCAAACTGCACCTGAAGACAGGTGTGTGCTCTTGACAGTACCATTGGATATCTGGTGTTTTTCAAGATTACCTCCATAATAATGGAATCCAGTACTCAATATACCTGAATGCTTTTGGGGAGGAGGGACTGGTGAATGTAATCTACAGAGAACAATCTACAGAGAGCAACTCTCGGCAATTAGCCAAGTGGGAACTATGAACATAATGGCATTTCTAACATTATCCACTGGGTATCCTTCCACCACACCACAAAACATATACGCACAATGTCTTTGGGGATCAGCCAAACTTATTCTCTCACTCTCACTACAATTTCTTGGTTGCTCCTTAAAGTGTTACAACACCATTTGTTAAATGTGGAGAGATGCTCTTGTCTTTCATTAGGATATCTCCTTCCAATGTAAGTATTTTTTCCAAAACCTATTGGCAGCAGAAATTCAGTGCCAAACAATCCTTAATTCTGGGTTGCTGTGAGTTTTCTGAGCTGCATGGCCATGTTCCAGAAGCATTCTCTCCTGACGTTTCACCCACATCTATGGCAGGCACCCTAAGAGATTGTGAGGTTTGTTGGAAACTAGGCACGTGGGGGTTATATATCTGTGGAAAGTCCAGGGTGGGAGAAAGAACTCTTGTGTGCTTGAGGCAAGTGTGAATGTTGCAACTGGTTAGCTTGATTAGCATTTAATGGCCTTGCAGCTTCTAAGCCTGGCTGGTTGCTGCCTGGGGGAATCCATTGTTGAAAGGTGTTAGCTGGCCCTGATTTATTCTTGTCTAGAATTCCCCTGTTTTTTGAGTGTTGCTCTTTATTTTACTGTCCTAATTTTAGAGTTTTTAAATACTGGTAGCCAGATTTTTTTTCATTTTCATGGTTTTCTTCTTTCTATTGTGGTTGTCCACATGCTTATGGATTTCAATGGCTTCTCTGTGTAGTCTGACATGGTGATTGTTAGAGTGGTCTAGCATTTCTATGTTCTCGAATAATAATAATAATCCTGAATTCTGTCAGCTGAAAAAAACAAACCCCCAATTTGCCGGACGTTAGGTTATGCAGTAGATCCAAATACCTGTAATGTTGTAATAATCCCTGTATGGGTAAGGAAATGGGGTTTCAAAAAGTGGACTTACTCTGGGTCCGGAGGGACCACCAGGACCACTTGCTCCTTGATCTCCAGAAGGACCCTGAGGAAGAGAGGAGAAACAGAACACGGTGTAAACCTCAACCTTTCAAGTATATCTCTGCAAAAGACTCCTCCCAACACAATGCACATCTTGTTTATAGAAAATAGCTTCGAAAATACATAATTATCACACTTGTTTTCTCCATTTCACCTGGGATGTGTGTGTTAATAAACCTGGTTTATGACCTGGTTTTGCACATCTGCTATAGAGAGATTAATATAGGACAACTGGGTAGCACTGTTGAGTCTCGCTATCGTTCTGTATGATTTCAAGTATCATGGAGAACATATCCTAGCCTAGTGTAGCTGGAGAAGTCAGGCAGCGATGCACAAATTGCCTCCTTGAAAAACTTGCCCACCCACATGCTTTCATTGAGACATCACTATTAAGTTTCCAAAGGTCCTCAGATTTTCCTGGAACCGTTGAAATCACTAGTCTTCCTAGGCGTGAACATACAAAGTCTTAGTAGAGAGAAAGAGAGCTAGAAAAAGTTCCTTTTGGGGATAACAACATCCAGAATCCCCCAAGTGCTGGGAGATTCTGGTGCTATAGTCCAAAAATTAACATTCCCCAAGTTTTGAAATAGTTATTTTCTGCACTAAGAATCCATTTTTTAATTCCTACTACTGCACGTAAGAACCAAATTGGGACTTCCCTACAGGCCACATCAAACTGAGAAAATCAGTGGCTAGATTCTGCCCTGGCATGTGTTGAATGAAAACTTACAGGAGGTCCAGGAAGACCCTGAAGACCAGTGAATCCTCTGTGTCCCTTCAGACCGCGCTCCCCTGCCTCGCCAGCTTCGCCCTTGTCACCACGAGGACCTTGTGGACCCTAAAGAGAGAGAGAGAGAGCAGAAAGTGCAGTCAGAGCAATAGGCATAGGGGCAAAGTTTGGCACACAAAGTCTAACATGATGATATCTTGGAGCTTTTGTCCCAAACATGTGGTGCCTGCATATCTCAACTCCTATGAGTTATTTATTGTTGTTTTGTTGTTGTTATGTTTTATGATGTATTTGGGCTCGGCCTCTTGTAAGCCGCACCGAGTTTTGCGGGAGATGGTAGCGGGGTATAAATAAAGGTTGATTATTATTATTATTATTATTATTATTATTATTATTATTATTATTATCTCTGCCTAAACAGCTATTGGCATAACCAGACAGGAAAGCCCAGCTTATACTCACTTCTGATTGGGTTTCATGTCTACACACTGATGTCACAAAGGGACTGATGTCACAAAGACATCCTGTGCCTGAAACAATTTCAGACAAGTAATAGGCTGCTATCACTAATCTGCTCTGCACTGGGAGAAAGACACCACTAGAGATGTAGAACTTTCCCTTCGGCATTCCAGCTTCCATGGGGTGAGTAAGGCTGAAGCAAACAGACTGTACTGGAGCACACTCACAGAATGGAATTTAGCAGGTTGCTTCTGCACTTGCAGAGCGGGAGAACAATGACATCCTTTTGGGAACCTAAGTCTTTGTAAGTGGACTTATGTCTGCGAGAAGTAGATTTGGGTATCCATATTGTCTGTATCCAGTAAAGGACTGCTACTATGCTACTACATAGGGACATTGGTGAAATGACTGATACGCATCAGAACTGATGCACAGTGGGACCAAAGCACACTATCCCATTGGGCGTTAGAATACTAATTAGGGAGTGCTGATCACTGGGGCATCAAGGCACTCTTGCCAGTGTCCTGTTATATCTCTTCACAATTGATTGACAATGTTTCTTAGTACCACTGTTACGTAACTGAGTAAACATAACATAGACTATAATTTAGGTTTCCACCCTTGGTTCCTACCTTGGTGACAATCAGGTAAAAAGGGAACTGTTCATAACATATTCAGTACTCCAGGAAAAATAAGGTGAAGCAAAAGAAAAATACTCACAGGCATGCCACGTGCCCCTGCAGGACCAGGTGGACCCAATGGACCTTGAGCACCCTAGGAAAGCAGAAATGCAGGTTATGGACTCGCCATGCCTTCTGTACCTTGCATGGGATTAAAGGCTTTGGTTCTCAGAACTGATCAACACAATTGGGAGACATCCATTTCATTACACAAAATTTTCACCTGCAAGGACTAAGCCCAGCCACACAGCTGTGTAAGGGATGGATGGATATCTGTGGCAGAAAACCCTCCAGACTGGAAAGGGGAAGACGTTCTTCACACACACACAATGCAGATTACAAATGTTTATTTATTTACTTTGTTTTATTTCACTCCTTCTCTCCCCTATTGAGGGACTCAGAGAAGCTAACATTTGGCAACAATTTGATGCTGTTCAGACATAATACAATACTGACTCAAAATACATGTTGCCACTGAATTTTCATTTTCACTGGACACTATCCTAACTGGAAAATCCTGTAAGAGTGACATATTTTAGAGAAAGAAAATTTAGCTATGCCAAAGAAAGAAATCACATTTTAAGAATTCAAAGGTAGCTCAAGAGAGGGAGGAAAGAGAGAAGAAAGAAAAAGGAGTGAAGGAAGAGAAAGAAAAGTAGAAAAATATGGCAAAGAAAGAGAGAAGGAAGGGAGGGAGGGAGGGGAAGGAAGAGAGGGGGGAAAGAAAGGAAAGAATGAAGAGAACCAATGGTGTATGAGGGAAAGCAAGGGAAGAAGAAAGGAAGGAAGGAAGGAAGGAGGAAGGAAAAGAGAAAGAAAGAGAGAAAGAAAGAAAGAAAGAAAGAAGAGAGGGAGAAGTGTATGAGAGAAACAGAGGAAGAAAAGAAAGAGTCACAAAGAGAGCCTGTCCAAAGAGTCGACTGAGCATTGCCATAGAGATATTGTGAGATAAAGCGGAGGGGGAAGCTATATATACTAATAGTCACTAATTAAGCAAGATCTAATGGAAACAAAGAGGGAGAATACTGAATTAAATCTCTTTGTTTAGTGTACTTAAGGGAGAGTGGGAAAATTCAGTTTTCCTTTCTCAGACAGTATTTGTAATTAAACAGTCAAGAAATGAGAAATTTGTTTAGCATGTAACTGGGAAATATATATATATATATATGCATTAGGCCTGGGCGGTTTCGTTCGTTAATTCGTTAATTCGTTAATTATTCGTTATTTTTAGCATTTACAAAA